TGGGGCGTTCTGAAAACACATAAACGTGTAAGGACCGCATCAACATATTAAACATTATGTAGTAATTGCCTCGTGTCTGCAAAGTCTAAAAGTCTAACACATATATGCGATGAGCCTGCCAGTATGTATTATATTACTCGTAGTTAAGGGTACCTTTTTAGGATGGGGGGATCTGAATACACATAAACGTGTTGGGACTGTATCAGTATACATTATGTTTACTTAATATGTGTGTCACTAAAGTCTGACTCCACCCCACTTCCTCCCGCCTTCACCCTCTCTCTCTGTCTTCACCTCCCCTCCACGCCCTATGCCTTCATTCTCCCTCCCTCTCTCCTCTCCCCTCCACGCCCTATGTCTTCACTCTCCCTCTCTCCTCCCCCCTTCACGCCCTATGTCTTCACTCTTCCTCTCTCCTCCCCCTGCACGCCCTATGTATTCATTCTACCTCTCTCCTCCCCCATTTCCCCAGCTGAACATCTTCCGCGGGCTGTACGACGAGGAGCGCCATCACTTGGTCGATGACTTCCGGCCGACACAGGAGCTCAACTACCGGGTGGTCACCACCACCAAAAAGATGGGGGATGGTGCCAGCGGACTGGTCGTCTCCAGTCTTCTCCTCATCTCGGCCTCTCTACTCACCTGGCTGGTCCGGCTATAAACTTAAAGTTTAATTAAGTTTGAATGTTGTTGAGGTGGAGGACTTTTCCAGTGTCCGTACCAACTATAACTATAACTATAATCCTGAGTTTTGACTGTTGTTGAGGTGGAGTAGGCCTACTTTACAGAGTCTGTACCAGCTGCAAATCTTGAGGTTGAATGCTGTTTAGGTGGAGAATTTTCCAGAGTCTGTACCAATTAACTGCAATCTTGAGTTTGTTCATGTGGAGTACTTTACGAAGTATGTATCAGCTGTAATCTTGAGTTTGAATGTTGCTGAGGTGGAGTACTTTGCCTGTCCCCTTTATGCAAGAAACATTCTGAAATAATGCAAACTGACCCTAAAAAATGTGAAATTATGCGATTCTGTTAATTTTAACAAAGAATGATAAAAGAAAATAATCAGAAATTCTGCACAAAAATTAACAAATTTAGATAAATTATGCGGGGTGCATAAAACCACGGTGACAGCTTTACTGAGTCTGTGTTGTTGTAGTGTTTGTTTTGAATTGTAGCTGTGTGGAGCTATTTTTTTAATTTAGCAGTGCTTTAGTCTGTTTACTCTGGACAAAATGGCAGGCCTGTGTTCTTTTGTGTTCAAATGTTTGTTTGTGTTTGTGTGTCGGCGTTTGAGTTT